CGGGGCGGGGCGACAATAACTCACTACTTTTGGTCCAGCCGCGCGATGCCAAGTCAAAGGGCTCGATGCGGCCAGCCGTGTCCGCCAACCGAACCGTTCAGAGTGACGGATGGCATGGCGGGGCCCCGCCAACCCTAACGGAAAATGAAACCGACACGGCCAGCGGCCCGGGCCCGGGCGGGAGGCGGAGGAGAGAAACAGGACCCGGCGAGGAGTTGTCAGCGCAGTGCGTCTTATTTTTAGCAACTTAATCTTTTTCAGATCACTTCAGCAGCAGGAGGCACACGGCAGTCGCCCCCCCCCCCCCCCCCCCCCCCCCCAGCGGCAGCCGAAGACGCATAACGCGAAGCACACGCGCGTGTGTGACGAGAGAAGTCTTTCGGTTAGATTAAATCATACAGAGCTGTCGCCATGCGCCCGCGTCGGAGCAAAAAGCTTCGTATACTGGCCCGGCATGCAGGCGTGCGGGCAGGTTGCCTATCCGCACGGGGCCACAAGGCGCCACGGCTGTGCAACAGACAGACGCTATAGGCAACCCACCCGCAACCGTGGCATGCGGGCTAGTAGTATATTGCTTCCGATGGGGCACAGCGACGCAATACCCTGGACGATAACAATAATGGGACCCCTTCTCCAAATAATTGGGCCCCTGCTTCACCCTTCACCCAAAACCACGGTAAAAACAATGTCTCATTTTTTGAGGAAAATGGGAACACTTTGAGGAACTTCCACGTTTCAGGAAGAGTCCTCCAATCTCGCCTTAGATTTTCAGGAATCTTCTCAAAAATGAGGAAAACTCTCACTTTTTATGAGGAGACTTCCTCGAAATCTGAGGAGTTTTTATCAAAACAGGGGAGTTCCTCAAAATTTTCCCTTTTCCCTCAAAAAATGAGATGTTGTTTATAACGTGAACCCCCAAAACTGTGACGAAAGAGACCCGGCTGCTGAATGCTGGCGCAGGCTCAGGCTCAGCCCCGGCAGGCTCGGCGGCCCCGGTGGGTTGGGGCAGGTCACTGACGTCGTCACTGCGCCCGACGGCGACATCGCCGCGCGTAATCGATACCCCTCTCATAGGGTTTTTGCACGGGCAGGGCTTGCCGAGGAGGCCTCAACGATATGGGATGAACGACCGCTGCAGCACGGCTGAGCGCAGGCGGCGCAGGGCGTGCGAGAGAAAGAGAGAGAGAGGGTGGGTAGCCCCCTCGCGGACAGAGAGAGCAGGTGAGTACCGATGGGCAGTCGAGTTGCTCATTGATCACAAGAGTGCAATTGTGGTACCCACCACACTCACCAAGGGGACACAGGTACAAATTTCTATTTCGCCTGCTGCCGCCCGCGAGAGGTTTGCACCTTAACGCGATCCCTAAGCGCCGCTGGTTGGTATAGTGACCTTACAGCGACCTCAGCGGGCGTGCGGTGTGGTGGCGGAGCGGGGCGGGGCCACCCTATTGACTGACTCCTCCAGCCAAAACGGCTCCCAGCCGGCCCAGCCAGCCGCCCACAGCTGTCCCCGCCGCGCCGCGCCACGCCGCGCCACGTACACTGCACACATCGCGAAGCAGCGCGCCAGTCCAGTCAATGAAGGCTCCTATCCCTCGCGAGCGCAGCTTGCTTCGCCGCGCGGCCCCGCCCCGCCCTGCCAACCCGGTCCGCCCCGCTGGCAGCTATCACTTAATATTTCTTCGAGCACTACACACTCGCAACAAATTTTACGCAGTGTCTGAAAAGTGACAATGGAGAGGCAAGAGGTTGAGACCAATCCCCCCAGAGCGCGGTCAGGAAAGGGTCGCTTTCCGCCCTGCTGTAGATTATCCGCAGTAAACAGCACACGGCACGGGGTTGGAAGGGCAACCAAATGGTTTGTAAACGTTTGACAGGTCACCCGGGGCGCTCGAGGCTGCGGGCGGCGCCTCCAGTCCCCTATTGCAGCCCTTCCAGGCACGGGGTTGACAGTCCCGGGGGCGAGGGATGACCTGTCACCGTCAACAGGGCGACAATTGACAGCAGATGGTGTGGGGCGCGAATCCCGTGTGACGTCAGGACGCTTGGGCACCAAGGCCGCGGTGCTCCTCGCCTCCTTGCCGCCGCCCAGCGCCACACCTCCCCTCTCCAACCCCTTCCCCTTCCCCTTCCCCCTCCCCCCTCCCCAACTGCTTTTCTTCCCAGGAAAGGGGAAAAGGTACCTTTTAGATACCTTTTAGAATGCACTGATTTTGGGATAGATGTAGAAGGTGCAGTAAAAAGACTACCAGGTAATGTTTTTAAAAATTAACACAAGAAGCAGCTGAGCCCAATGCCAAAAAAGCGATTAGAGACATGAGAGATAAAAGAAAACTGCAAAATAAATGAATGACTCATAATGTTGTTGTGTTTGAGGTTAACAAATTGATACAAAAACAAATGCGTGATTTTGCCCACACCAATCCCCAAAACATAAACTTTGAAAAAATGGTACATTTTCTTGCAAATGCTGATGACGCAAGAAGACAGATTACAAACAAAATAAAACGTTACAAAACAGCTTTCTTGAAACTGTCGCACTTTCCACAACCTTATATTTTCCTTCAAGAAGATATACGCTAAGTGATATTATTGATTAGAACATATAACTTCCCATACTTTTATATCTGATCACATTTTAAGATAGAAACAATAGGTTTCAAAAAAAAAGGCACTTTAGAAGAGAAAAAAAAACATTACAAGAATTACTTGTGTGTGCATACAGAGTACAGGTCCACCCATTGAAAAAATATATGGAAAACTTAGGTAAAGGAGAGATGAAGGGACAGAACATGGACTGGAGCTGTAATGAATGAAACCTCTAAACAACCTAACCTCTGAATTCATGGTGCAAAACAGTATGCCAACTTGTTTGTATAGGTGACACACACATGCATCCAACAACACAGAAGCCAGATTTGATTCACACATAATACAAGTAACAGAAATCTGATGCAGACACTCAGTGGCCATAATCCCAACGAAATCCTACACATGACCTGCTTTCAACACCTCAGTGTGAGTGAGTATGAGCTTCAGTGAAGACTTCAAATTTTGCACAGACAACAGAGAGATGCCATAAAAACAACAATTTAAATAAAATTAATAATAAAACATAAGCGTACCTGTCTCGTGTCGTAGGTATCCTGCTCCATTGCATTGGCATAGACTATTCCACTTTCATCAAAGGATTTCTTCTTGATAAAGATGCGAGAGATAGCACTCCACATTCACTTCTAACAACACACTCACACAAATTGTGCTTATCAACCGTTTGAAAGCAACGTTCGGTTGACATGACCCGCACAAGACGAGTGTAAACTGACAGGAGGCCTAAGCCTCAGCTTGCAGGGTGAGTTAAAATGAAAGGCTAGTGAGTACTTAAGTGGACTAAAGTCATAAAAAATGCTTCACGGCGACAAGAAATGCATCGACGCAATACTAAAACATTGGAGTCACTGAACGCATGAAAACCTGGAAAACTCCATGTTCTCATAATAGTAAATATATCACTTCCATTCACATAATTAACCTTAACACGCACAGTCGTCACCAAGAAAATTTCTGAAACTGAAGTCGTGAATCGTCGAAGTCGGGTACGTTCCACTCCACATCAAAATATCTGAGGTGGAATCGAGAGTCAGCATCGCTGTGGTCTCATTCATTCTCATTTGCACTCGTGTCAATCAGCTATCCCATTCGGTCGGAATGGCTAGCCGCATTGAATTAATTTTGAGTCTGACGTTAGCCGAATAAAATCAAGATAAATTAGCTTTGCACACATTAAAAGTTAAAAAACCTCCCAGCGCTTTCTCTATCTCGATGTTACGTTCGACTTATGTCTGCTTCGAGACACAAAGAAAAACAAACGGAATCAGTTAGGCCACAAATATGGAATCTTCTGTTTTTCTGATATGGTATTAGTCATCGTAATGTGATTATAAAGCTCAAAAGATTGATTGAATGGACGATTAAGTAAGTCGATCACCAGTTTTCTTGATTGGAGATCTTGTGAAGAGAGACTTTCACCATGTCTTGGCTCTTTGGAACGTCGTCTTCACCGTTCGATCAGGACGTTGGTGAGTTGGAGAACCGTCATAATGTTATTTCAGTCTGTTTTTACTTATCTACGTATTAAATTGCTGGGTCCTTAACGCACTTCTTTCGATTTTTAAGCCATGTTTAGTTCAATTTATTATTGGCTAAGTCCTCCAATTTTAAGGTTAACATTTAAGCCTGATGTTTTTGTCAGAACTGTCACTTATGTCATTGAACCTCTATTGTTTATTCATGCTAACAAAGCATCCATCGAATTAGGTTTTAAATGTCTTTCTGTCAAAATTAATTCAGCGCAACTCCTGTTAATGTTGAAAAGTTAATGAATATTGTGCAACACATTCATTTTACCATTTATCGTCAGATCTTTTTGGATTATTCTTACCCTTATCTCAGATCTACACATCTTAACAGTTTATCCTTTTATTGCTCATCTGGTTCCATTTCCCATCACAGTCGTCTCTGGATGAATTCAAGGAGGCAAAGTAGTCTATTCATGACCTACAATTTCTTTGCAGAAAAAGTTACAAATGAGAAGAATACAACAGAGGAGTGGGGTGACATAATGATGGTGTGTGATCGTGCTGGTGGATCTACTCAAAATGCGAAAGATTGCCTGCGGTCGATCATGAAACGGCTTGGTCATCCTGATCCCCATGTCGGGCTACAAGCATGTACAGTAAGTGCTCTCCTGTCTTTTATTTTCAAAATGTCATTTGTACTTTCCTATTTGTAGTATTTCAATTTGCACCTGATCTGTAATTGCAGCTCTTAGATGCTTGTGTCAAGAACAGTGGGAACCGCTTCCACTTGGCTGTTGCATCACGAGATTTTGAGCAAGAATACCGGAAGCTCCTCAACAAGTCCCATCCACGTGTAGCTGAGAAAATGAAGGAGCTCCTCCAGAAGTGGGCTGAAGGAGAATTCAAATCAGACCCACAACTTGTTCACATACCGTCATTTTATAAGAGCCTACAGGCAGAGAATGTTGATTTTACACCCCGTGATCCAAAGGTTTGAAGCTTGTTAATTATCCTTCTATTCAATTGCTACCATATTTCCTTAGTTTTGTGGATTGCCTCTGATACTTTTTAACCTAACAGCCAAGATCCTCTGTCATCAGTAAAGATCCGAATGTTGCCTTGAGTCAGGAGGAGGAGGATGATTTAGTCAAAGGTATGGAACTATCAAAATAAATTTCTTTATTCAGTATCTTTTTTTATTATTATTATTATAACTTTTTTTTTCTAAATCAATTGTAAGATTTTGAAAGCTGAAACCAGTTTATTTTCCAGCAATTACCCTGTCTTTAAAGGATGTCTCAACAAAGTCTCGAGGTGAAAGCTTATATCCATCTACTACTGGAGCAAGCTCAGTAAACGTTCACGGTTCTGTCTCTCACAAATTGGAAGCTCGTAAAGTACGAGCTCTCTATGACTTTGAGGCAGCTGAAGATAATGAACTTACCTTTAAAGCAGGAGAACTCAGTAAGAATAGGATTTCCTGTTTGTATTTTTCAGTTTTCTGTCTATGTTGTTCTTTTGCGTAAATATTGTGTTATTTGTGCAGTACATGTTCTGGATGATTCTGATGCAAATTGGTGGAAAGGATACAATAAGAGAGGAGAAGGACTCTTTCCTTCAAATTTTGTTACTGCTGACTTATCAGCTGAACCCGAAAATTTTAGTAAGCACAGTTACAGTATCTCTCATTTAATTAAATTATTGTTTGCTGCTTATTTTAACATTCCTCTCTAATTTTTAGAAGATGAACCTCAAAAGAAAGTAGTTCAATTTAGCGATGAGGTGACCGTTCAAGTAGCACCAAAGGAGGTAGTTGAAATCAATGAACAAAAAATAGATAGGTGAGTAGAAAATAAGATGGTGGTAAAATATAATACTAATCTGTAAACTACTTTATTTTTGTTATTTTTTCATCTTAATGTTAAAGTGTCACTCATGTTTTTTAGTTTTAAAATTAATCGTTTTTGAATGTATGTTCATAGGCTCAGAGATCTCTTGCATGAAGCAAATCCTGAAGATGACCAGTATGATACCACAGAGATGTTGGATTTAGAAGGTATTCAGAACTTTCTGCTTTTTTCATTGGGTCTTTTCATTATATGAATAATAATCCATCTAACAATCACACAGAACAAGTCAATGCTATGGGACCTCTCATTGACAACGAGCTGGAGCGAGTTGACCGCAAACATGCTCAACTGACCCAACTTAGTTCGGATTTAGTTGAAGCATTAAATTTGTACCACACCTTAATGCGTGAACCTGGTCCTCAAGCTGTGCCTTCCCCATATCACCAATTGGCAAAGGGGCCACCTTTTCCATACCAGCCTGCCTTGCCTCATGTCAGTATAGCCTGTTATATACAAAAGATTTCTTTTATCGTAATAAAATACTAAGCCTCTGATCTTCTTCTGAATAGATGTACAATGGCACACCTCATGGAGGTCCTGGTTATAGTTTACCACCAGACCAATTTGGCATGCAACCGCCTTCTGGACCTGTCTCAATGCCCCCAATACAACCCTACATGAATGCTAGAGGTCCTCAGGGTACTGAAGGTATGCCTGGGGGACCCATTTCCTACCAAGGAAGGTATGATGTCTTACAGCGTATCATATTATGTGTTCTCTCTTGTTTTAAAAATATTAATCTTACAAGAAAAATTTACCCTATGAACCTTTTCTTTTTTCAGCCCAATGTTTGCTGTAGGTGGCATGGTTGGTTATCCTTCACCTCATACTCAATACATCCCTGGCCCTCAAGGACCACAAACAGGACCTCCCCACCCACAAGGTCCACCTCAAGGCCCGCCACAAGGCCCTCCTCAGGGACTTTCCCAGGGACCTCCACAGGGGCACCAAATTCCCTCATTACAACAATCACAGCCACCTCCACCCGGTGTATATTCTCCTCCAAGTCAGCAGCTCCTCTAAAGGCTCTACCCCGAGATTCAGAGAACAAACCCTGGGGCAAGCTATTTGTTTCTTATCTTATTGATTTTGGGACTAGTTTATTTTCAATTATTGTAGTCACCTTTTAAAATAATTGCTGGGGCAAGAAATGAAAGTGAGTTGTTAGCAATTATTAAATTGTTTTCAGTATCCAAGTAAATATGTTTAAAATTTCATATATTTCTAACTGCATTTTATTTGAGGTAAATGAATTTAGAATGTCAGAAAGGTAGAATGAAATAATTGTCTATTAGCTTTTTAAGATTATCAGGATTTTGTTTTGAAAAAGAAACACTGGGAAAATTCCTTATTACATTTCAATGTTGTCTTTTTAAAATAAAATGAAAAAGATGAGAGCTACCCTGTAGCTCTGAGTCTACTGTGATGTTTTACCTTTGATTCAAATGGTCATACAGGTATGGTTATTAAGCTTGTGGTGTTAAAGCAGGGAAAATGAACAGTCAGTGCTGATCCCATAGGGATGATGATAAGGCTACTGAGTACATCTTCCCCCTCTGTTATTATTATCCTTAGCCACAAGCATTTTCTATTGAAGCTTTATTTGTTGTTTAATGTTTGTTTTATTAGTTTTCAATAATAACAAAGTCTTGTTCTTTTCATGAACACATTTATTTTTAACGAAATCATTCTATCCTCTTTCAATCCCATCTGTGGTCTTCCTGTTATAAATGGATGCGTAAAAATAAAGTTCAATTTTCTCTTAGAGTCCCTTTCCAATGCTTTGTCATCATCAGGTTTCATTCTCATTGCTATTATTTATGTCTGTAGTTTATATTATTACACAATCATTTAGGTCACTGGAATAAAAATGGATGAGTATTTAACAGTTCACTTCATTTCAGCACTCCTTGGAACAATGTTCACATTTTATTTTGCTGACTCATTCAATCCATCCAATAATCCTCCCCTCGCTAAGAAAAAAATTGCTTATGTTCTACATACATAAGTACATGTTTTGGCTAGTGTGGTAAACAAAGTGACATGTTGATTGTGCTAATTTACCCTACAATGAAGCACATGAACAATTCAATATAATATGATGTGTTAGGATGGTCTATTGAAGTTTCACAGGTCAAAGATAAGTGAAATCTTTGGCGGCTAAGGAGAATGAAGAATGATGTTGAGATTAGGATCAAAAGAAACCTGTACATTTATCAGCAAATAATGTCATTTTGGCAAATGTCTGTGTACCGTGCGACATGCGACTGATACAAATTGCTGTGTACTCTTTGTAACATATTTTATTAAAAATTTGTTTGTAAATAATGCATTTTGCCTTTTCCTTACCATTGATTGAACTTCCACAATTTAGAAGAAAATGATAGCTAGAATTGAAAGGGATTGTGCATGACCAATAGGATTGAAGTTAAGTGAAGGGAATGATAAACAGTGCCTTCAATAATTAAATTTTTATTTTTATACTCAAGTATTGCAACAAACCACAACATATTTAGTATGTTCAATTGTTTTGATCAATCTCTAACTCAAGTCAAGACACAAGTCAATTGATTTAGTTATGGATTTTAATCATACTGTTAACATGAAATACCAACTGGTAGTTTCTGCAGAATCCACATGTTTTGTATAGGTATGTATCAACATTTTAAGATATCATTCACAGCACATCTTACACTGAAGTGGTATGAACATAATTGTGCATAATTTCTTCTCCTTCATACATAGCTAAGACAACCTCCATTGTTACAGTAATTTACTCTCATCTCCTTGAGAAACTTACATACAAGTTTGCAAAATATTGGAGCAATTGAAGAGGTACCCATGAATATGGTGATAGAAAAACTATGAGGGAAAACACATGCAACAGTTTTGCACAAAGTCAAATATTACAGAAGTGAACAGAAACTAGGAAATCTTTGTAAAACATTCACCTCTCGACCATAATGGCACATATTCTGTCTTAATTCTCCATACTTGATCTTAACCAATATGTAAAAGTATCACAGTATTGCAGTCAGTTATTAAGTGTAGGTAAGTACCATTTGTTCTCAGTCCATATTTACCTCTTTAATTAATCCAGTTTTCCACAAACTGATTTACATTTCTAGGTGAAGAGCAGATACTTTAATAAAGGAATAAAGAATGGCATTTAACATCTTTCAGTCATAATGAAAAATCTTGCTAGACTAGTCACTACAATTCTGGTAGCAAAATTTAAGTTACCTTAAAGAAATTCCTCCATACACTAAGTATGATACGGATTAAGGATATCAGTTATAACTGTAGAAAACAAAATGCTCTTGTATTACAGAAATATTATGAATACTAGCAACATAATAGGCTTTTGGAGACATGAATTCGAAACTGTTTAAGCTTACTGAAATTAGGTGTCTTCTCTACAGCTTGAGAGGATTTAACAGAATTAAAATAAAATCTAGAGACATGTTATAATGCCATATTTCGTCCTTCAACAGAAATCTGAACAGCTCTACGAACTTGTTTGGCACGTTTAGCATCAATGAAGGTTTTATAATGTTTCTCAAATTTAGTCATTTGCTTCTTAGTGGTCTGTAACAAAATATAAATATAGCAGACACGCTCACACAAGCTCCACTGAAAGTAAATCAGTTAAATTTAGAATATTTACCCGACTCATGTCAACATCAGTTTTCCATTTAGGCCGATTAACATATTCCTTGTTGGAGGGCATAGGAACTCTAGCACGAGAAACCCAACCTTTATCACCTGGCCTCAGTGCACCACTGAAATAAAGAGAAAAAGGAGTTAACATAAAGAAAATTAACCAATGGAAGTTTAGAACTGATTACTTGTATTGTTAATACCTTCCATCATCAGCTGTAAGAGCTTTGCCAAGTTCTCGAGGTTGTTGCTCCTCTCTATCATCATCCTCTGATGCACGTCTACGCTTAGGGACCTGCTCAAGATCGCGCTGTAGACGTTCCTCTCGACTCAGAGCTGCCGATAGATTAAATTGCTATTAAATTGCATAGGAGTTGTTTCAAAGTATAAAGAATTGTAAAAGCTTACACGTGAAATCAGTGGAGACATTAAATATGGGGCGAGCCCAATCACTTATAAGACGGCCTGCTCTGTCTTTGTTTTCCTTGATTTCTTTAGGGTGTTTGTAGAGGTACATTACTGCTTTACCAATGCCAGAGTGCTTCAATGAAGATTGGTCAATGCGTGGGAACTGTAGATGTAGAAGCAATATATTTGAATGTCAAATTCAATAAAATGAAGGATGGATAGATAATTAACATTAATGTTCTTATTGTACTCACCTCTCTCAAAAGTTTCAGAATATTCTCGCGAATACGCAGTGATGGTAAACTACGATCAGGCATAGGGGCAAGCCAATCCGTAAGAACAGATAGCACATTGTGTTCAATAAATGCCAATTGTAAATCATGTTTTCTCAATTGTGACATTACTTTAGAAAGCATGGCAATTTTGTTGGTGGCTGGCTTGGCCTCTTGATTAAGGCGTCGGTCATCCTGGAATTGATTCATAAATGAAAAATAAGAGTGGAAAATGAAAAAAGGAAACTAACAAGTGCAAATGCACACGCAATATTATTTTTAAGGAATACAAAACCGTACATCAGCTGCAGTCTTCATGTCTGCAAGAAGTTGAGCAATTATGTCATCATTGTCATTAATAATATCAATATCTTTCCTTTTTCGTTTTTTCTTCTCTTCTTTTTTTCGTTGAAGCATAACATCAAAGTCTGACATACCAGTATCATGACTAAAAAAACCAAGTGAAAGTAAATGTCAGCACCCTCGTATAGAAATGACTGTCATGCCATATTAAAGAAACTAGACTTACTCCCTTGACGGTCCTTCATCTGAGTCCTCATCAGCGACTACAGCGCCTCCTTCAGGCTTCTCCTCTACCATACCTCCTTCATCTCCACTTGCCTTTCCCCCTACGCCACCCTCATCATCAGAACCTTTTGGTTTCTTTTTCTCCTACAAATATAAACAGAACAATACAGGTGGAAAAAAGACCATTGCAAAAAGAAAAGAAGAATGCCACCATTGATACTAACCACTCCTTCACCCTCTGAATCTGATAAAACATCTCGACCGGGTCTCTTCTTTGCTCGATTGTCACTGCGGCTGCCACTTCGACTTCGGCTCCGGCTCCGGCTCCTACTATGACTTCTACTTCTGCTCCCACTTCGGCTGCGGCTTCCACTACGACTCCTACTGCCACTTCGGCTTCTACTACCGCTTCGGCTTCTACTGCGACTCCCACGACTGCGTCTTCGGCTTCCACTGCCACTCCTACTCCGGCTCCTGCTACCAGACCGACTGCGACTTCTACTACCAGATCGACTTCTACTGCGACTTCTCCTCCTGTAATTTGGGAGGGGAAATTGTTTATCACTATTTACAAAAAAAAGTTTAAAAAGTTAAATGCACTCCACACTCACGATTTTCCATCCTCTCCTTCCGAATCCGACAAGACGGCCCTTTTTTTCTTACGTCTTCCTCTGCTGGAATCTGACTTATTGCCTTCATCTTCTGAGTCAGAAGCTAAAGCTTGAGTGCGCTTTTTCTTTATTTTTTTGACTTTACGGTCAGGACCACTACCCCCATCAGATCCACTTTCACTTTCAGCATCACTACCCTTCTGAGACCCAAATTTCTTGGACTTAGCTGAGAAAGAAAACGTTTTATACTTACAAGACACATAGCAAGATACATGACAAAGGGAAGTAAAATTTCCTTACCTTTCTCTGGATCAGACTCACTGTCGACAACAGACCTTCTTTCTTCCACTTCTGAAGGGCTCCTAGATCGAGACTTTGATTTCGACCTTGACCTCGATCTTGACCTCGATCTCGAACGTGACCGAGACCGGGACGCTCGACTTGCACGAGCTGCAGATCCTGACCTAGATCTAGATCTTGACTTAGATCTAGATCTGGATTTAGATCTAGATCTAGACTTGGATCTAGAGCGAGAGCGAGATCTAGACCCAGACCTTGATCTGGATCGAGATTTGGACTTAACACTTGATCTTGAACGAGATCTTGAGTGCCTGGATCCAGACTGCGATCTTGATCTCGACCTCGACCTTGAATGATTTGAGCCAGAGGCCCTTGATCCAGATTTGGACCTGGAGCGTGAGCGAGAGCGAGAATGTGACCTAGATCTAGACCTTGAATGGGACTTGTTGCGGGGTTCTGACCCTGCCCTTGAGCCTGATTTTGATCTGGAAGAAGAGAGGACTTGATTAATAGAGCTTTTACCTTAATCAACAAATTATAAAGTTCACTGTGTTTTTAAAACCATCACCTGGAGCGTGACCTAGAACCCCTTGAACCTGATGCTGCCCTAGAGCCTGAAGCAGCTCTTGAACCAGAGCGTGATCTAGAGCGCGATCTAGAGCGTGAATGGGAACGAGAGCGTGATCTTGAAGCATTCCGTGACCCATTTTGAGATCCCACAGGAGAAGCCGATCCTGACTTTCTGGATGGAGATCGTGACCGTGACCCTGATTTTGATCGAGAGCGTGATCTGACTCTGGAGGAAGGAGATCCGGATCTAGAGCGATGTCCTGAAGAAACAGATCTAGATCTTGATTTTCTTGATCTAGAGGAACGTCCTGACTTGTTGCTAGCAGCAGACTTCACAGACTCATTATCACTCTGGTTACCATCAACCACGGGGCTGGATGGGGTTTCGTCTGTTAAAGAAAACATAAATAATATCCAAGATTACTAAAAAGATGGTGAGCAAATAACAATATGCAGATTTCAACTTATTGAGAAGCTTAAGTATAAGGAACAACTTATTTTGGCATTCACTTCGATAGAACATAATCATACATAGTGTAGGTACCAGTTAACTATGAAAACAATACAAATTGTAAACCCTCCCGATTCTATTCGCACTCAAAATAAAGAAAACTGGAGCAGTTAAGCGTGCGCCATAATACATACAATATCGCACATGAAAAGTTTTAGGTTTGAAATTCTTGGTAATGCAATACAACATACCAGAGAAGTGGATTTAAATAACATAGCTATTACACATCATAGCATAAACAACCTAACCCCTACACCAATGAAAATCATATTTGCAAAAATACTTGAAATTAAACCGAGCTACTTATATTATGGCAAGAAATTGTTAAGAGGGCGTTTTTACAGAAAAATATAAATTCAATTTGCAATACTGACAAACAAAACACACAAGAGGAATTCAACCATACGGTGAGAAATCTGTAGATATTACAAACCTTGCTCCATCCTTCGTTTGTATACAACCAAAGAGGCCAATGTTTTCAAGGAGCATACGCCTAAGGCGCAGCAAATTACCGAGTGTGTCGTTCAACCAGATATGTTAAATTTTAACAAACTTGCTGACACTAAAGCAAAATAGTCAGGTAAAAGTAAGGTGTGCTGACGGACGTCAAGAACGGAGACGCCGCTGCCGCTGCTCTGCTGCCCCCTCCCCCTCCCTCCCCTCCTCCCCGCTCCCCCGGCGCGCAAGAGGAATGTAGGTATGACAACATTAGCTGCTATGATAAACCGTGGTAACTCTTTGTTTGAAAACAATGTCTTGATGTCTTGAACATCATAGAGATTTTGTGTTTTCAATATAGGGATGCGGGTCAACCGTAGAAAACTGATTTAAATGCAGCTAGCGCCAGCAAAACCATACAAAAATAGTAATGGTGTAGTCAGTTTGTTGGTTATAGTCTCGCCAAAAGGCGCATCTTTGGGATGCTATTGTATTCATATTGGGAATTACAATTGCAGTTCAAAAAGAAGTGCGAAAGCGGGAAAGTTTGAAGCATGTTTAAAGGCAATTTAACTTTGCGTCTTTGAGAATTTTGCAATAGGAGCGTAGGGATTAAAGTGTCAAGAAAAAAAAAAAGCAGAATGGAATATATTTTTTGAAATTTCTTCAATAGTCGTAACGAGTTAATAAACACCATTTTTAAGATTTATAAATAACAAAAAATATTTCAATTCAGGGTCACATTGACATGATAAACATTGTGATGTGAATCGTATGAACACAAATATGTTTCTTTTAAAAATGAACTGACTACCATGGTAGCACATTTTTGGCCTCTTTTCTTTGGCTAGCTTTCTTCTTTCTTTGACACTAAATAACTAAATTCACAGCAGGCGTAAAAAGTACACTTAATCTGCTCCCAAGTCATTATTTAAAATTCATATCAGTTGTAATAAGTCAGGAGCATGATAAAATAAGATCTACTGATGAGTTACATTATTAAAAAAAAACTATCTTTGCTGTTGAGGAAAAAGACTTTTGTCATAGTTTCACTACATCTATGAACTTTTGTCCCATCCTCCCGTACCTAAGTGTCAGAGCATCTCTGCTGTACTTCCTCTTTGTATCTAGTCTATTAGTTGATTGCATTTTAATATATCACAGGCATTTTTATCTTCAGAGAGAGCATTTTTAAAATCAATTTGACAAGAGCTCCTGCGACTGTTAGCAGGAAACTTTAGGCATGAAGCATAGTCCTAAATTTATCCATATACAAGAATACTAATAGGATATTACAGTGCTTATGACCTGCATAACAATTTATTCATAATATCCTCTTGAGCTGATTGTCAGTCTCTTTCCTTTGTAGAACAAAAATCACCATCATTCTAGCTTATCTGTAATAAGCTGTTGCAGATATTCAAGAACCTTAGTATCTCTCAAAATTCCCATATGGTCCACCTGAAGAAAAAAAAAAGAAAAAAAAAGATTTTTACTCAATATTTAACATAAAAACCAGTATTTTAAAAAATAATGAAAAGCCTATATTACCTTTGGGAAAGTTTGATGGTATATTTTCTTTTTCTGCTGACTGGCCCAGTGTAAGCACCCTTCCAGGCTTCTTTTGTTGACTGTGCCATCGCCATCACCATTTATGAAAGTAGGATATCCATCTGGGAATTTTCCAGACTTGTAAACTAACCTGGAAGACATTTTTCCTTTATGTAAAACTTAAGTATAACACAAGAAAATTACATTTGTTTTATTTTTTGTTTTTTTACTTTACCTGTCAACAGTATCTACTCCAAATCCATGTAGACAATGAACTTCAACACCAGGAGGTGAAAAGTTGAGGGAGTAAGGCTCCACATCTTTTCGCATTTCCCAACCAAGGGGATAGTTTATATCACTGTTGTAATAAGAAATATTTAGTTGAATGATATACAACTCAATACAGGAAGAAACATGCAACTTACTCAAAAAATGCCTTCAGATTGTTGATGGTATAGTTTTTGTTTCCTGTTTGTACCAGTACTTCTGACTCTTTCCAGAAAAGGGGAGATGGCAATAGCCATGACAAGCTTGGTGAAGTTATTTGCATTTCACGTAAAATGCTTTCTCGTAAAACATAAGATCCTAAATCATCCCCTGCAGCAATGACATTGAGAAGTTTAGGTATGATAAAACACATTCACCTTTCAACATAAAAATAGAATTGAATCTTACCGACAGCAAACACTTTTAGGGCTTTAACAGAGCCACCCCATGCCCCACTGAGTGTGACAAATGCTCGAATATACTGATCTTTCCATTTCTGACTCTGTTGCTGTAGAAAGACTAATGTCATAGGCCCACCCATACTGTGTGCAATCAGGATGACAGCTTTCTTTCCATTCATGTTGTAAGTTTCTTCCACCAAGACCTTGAAAGCTTTGAAAAATTCTTGGTGTTCATCTAAAACATGATAAAATAAAATTTAAAAAACATAGCAGCATTAGATTTTGTAAACTAAGTCTGTTTACTGCAATTATTTTTTGTATAATGAACTAACTAGGAGCTCTTCGAAAATCATAAGGTGCCCCTCGAAGTGAAGTGTTTCTGTTGAAACCATGTTGAACCAGCATGTTTCCAATATCTTTGAAGTAAGCACCAGGAGAAGCTTGACTAGGGTCCAACCACTCTACGACAGCTGGGTCACCAAATCCAGGTACTCTCGTCTCTACACCCAAAGGTGTTTCAGTTTTACGTGTAGTGCTGTTGTACACCAGTTTAATGTTGTCAACCTGTCACAAATGACAAAGAACAGAGGTCAAGCAAGAATAAGATAAAAACATGGGCACACAAGATAAGATACACAAACGTCATCCACATACCCAGCAATCAATGACAATTGGCACCAAAAGTTCTAAGTTTAACCAAATATTGAAAAAGTCATTTGTATTTTTCTCACAGACATAGTGAACTACCTGACTCTTTGATAATTTTGCATCAATCTGACTGCCGCCATCACCTGGAACTACATACAGAGAGCTTTAGTATATACTTACTAATTAAAAATTTATATGATACCTATGATATTTGTTGGGGGATTTGAAATAAACCCTGATAATTGACATAAAATGCGGTTCATTGGAGACAGATGAACAGACTTACTCATGATCACGGGAAATACATTCGACGAGGCAGGAGCAGAAGACACTATGTAACCTAAGCTCATGACAGTTATCACAGAAACGATAATTCCAACCCGACGAGAAGTAGCAAACATTGTGACAACTGCACTTCAATTTAGAAGAAATCCACAGATACAATATAACAACTTCCAAGATTGCTCTAGAGTTCTCTGCTTGACGCAGTTGTTACGCAAAATACATTCCTAGTCACAGCAGATAATACGATGACTGCCTACTGACTTGACAAACAACAAACAGAGAAAGGAAGGAGTAGGGGGAAGAGGGGAGGGGTCTTCAAGTTTCAACTGTTTCTGGCGGCAGCGGGAGCGGGAGAGTTTGTATGACACTAATTGTTCACTATTGGTAAGGCCAATTTGGGACAGATCTCGAACTTCAACAACAATAACGGAAATAGTAAAAGCTTGCATTTCACCAATTAATTTTTTTCTAAAGCCTTAACCTGAATCTAATCTCTAATTAATGAGTGGACACCACTAGGTCCACCAGGGCATGAACAAATATGCAACCCTTTCTCAGATTAGTGAACAAATAATTTTTAGAGAAAGTTATTGTGGAGAAACTTAGATTCAATCTCATTTCAGAAGAGGATAGTTTTGAGGTTGGAGGGGAGATCTGACCTCCCTTTCTTGGGTGCTGTAGCGGCAGCAGTTTAGCAGCAGCCAACATATGTCTCCCCGGTGAAAAAGTTTATGTGGCGAAGTGGCATCTTTGTTTGATTTTTCCATTACCAATTCGACTTATCATTGAATAAAATAAAATGCACAGTTTTAGAAGAAAGGAGGAGAATTGAATGTAAGTGGTGGATACCATTTTTATTTGTAACAAAATATGTATTACAAATATGAATGTACAAGAAAAATGGAGATGACACGAAACCTGATAAAGTCAACTTGGCAGTGATTTTAAGATGAATTTTCAAAGACATAATATTTACAGTTACACAGTATTAGAATTTACATTCAATCGATAACATGTTTTATTTACAGGCACATGTTAGGGACGGATGGTCATGATATGGCAACTTTTTTTTCAAACTGCTTGAACATAGAAAGAAACAGTCTAAAACTGATTAAGATGGATGAAAAATATATTGTTTATCTACTTATCATCAAATATAGAAAGTAACGTCAAAGAGCTTAATTAATTTAGCATCCAGTTCACACTCCAAAACAAGAAAAAAGCTACCATACAGAGATCATTGTAATAAATAAAATAACTACATATAAACATCCAAAGCTTTCCTTTAAGCTGTTTACGTTTCCACTCTGTATTAGTGGAAATCTCTTCACAAAAATCTGTCAGCTTACACTTTAAGTTAAATACAGTTTTATTACTATACAGACTCAGTCAAATAATTTTGTAAGGACACAAGAAAGATGATTTATTCAAAAACCTAACAAAACAGTAAAACACATAATATTCACACAATCAAAACAATCTGTAGGTAGATCAGCATGCCGAATAACCTAATCACCTCCAAACAACATGAACAGTTTCAATAAAGGACAGAAAAGGGCATTTATTTAAATTGATAAAATTCTAATCACAAAACATTATCTAATGTGTCAATGCTTTAAAATAAAAAGCAATGGCAAAATACAAAATCACAGGTCAGCTTAAAGATTAAAATTAGCTTAACATAATGATTTTTCAAATACACTTGAAAATATACTAACCAAAAGGCACATAAACTCCATTATGTAGTCCTAAAAACTACATAGAAGCTGGTGTATCACAGATAAGAGGCAGCATATCTGTTTACTTGCTACACTTCACATAATGGCCATAATTACAATTAAATTGTTCAGAACTACTAGCAGTCAAGTATTATTTAGGGAGCACAATCAATTGAAAGTCTGTAATTCTAGCCAGCAAAAATAAAGCTCCAAAATTCTGCATTTAAAGTGCAGATATTAACTTTGGCACACCTTTTCATGAAAGACATTGGCACTTTGTGCCGCTACTTAAAATATGGAGACCTTAAATGAAATTTTGTAGATAAATGAGATCACACAAATGATGAAAAACCTGGTAGAGGTGCCCTTGATCTAGCCATATTATTCATAATGATTTGACCTCCATTTAAACTCATCACTGCACTTCCTTCAGGCTCAGAGTCTGTATAACTAGAGTAATTTCGTACTGGTTTTTGTCTCTTCCAAGATTGACGTAATGAATCATTAACATTAGCATAGTGATTCACAAATGAATGAGGATCTGAGCGTTCGCTCTCTGGCTCACTCTCTGACCCCTAAAACAAAATGGAAAGAGGAAATTAAAATACTAAATTCTAGACAGAGTGTGACAGTATTTATGTATTATATTTGACAGTGCTTCATTTTACCTGGGAGTCCGATGAGCTTATCTCTGATGGCTTTTCAGTGACACTACTGTCATCTGGATTCTCATCATAACCCTTAAGACTTTCCTCGTCACTATGGTAAGCAACAGAGGCTGGGGATGGTCGAGGTGGTGATTTCCCCATCATTGGGGCGGGTGGACCAGGATGAACTGGTGCAGTTTTCCTTCCCAATGTGTTCCGCCTGCCCATGGTTCCCATAGAGCCCATTGGCCCCACAGCTCCTGCTTGGTGGCGAGATCGGTACAGTTCCAAAGCAAGCTCCTGACGGTCATCCATATCCATGGCCATTGATTCCTCAAGAGTTTTCTGCGATTCCTCTGCACAAATAATACAAGTCATTAGATTCTTCTGAGAGACAACTAGGTAGGTAATAAGCAATCGAATTATGTTATGGTACATACGTTTGTATTTGTAACTTTTGCTTTTTACGCACAGTATTGCTATGACACAAATGATAATAATGACAAAGAAAGCAGCTAAAGCCACCATGAACCATGTTTGTCGGTAAAAAGGTTTCTGTTGCAAATAGCCATAGTCAAGATATAGTTTTGAAGGTGTCAGAATCTGGAATAAAAAACAATTGCATGATTATTATGAAAGGATGTTGAAAATTAGAAATCAATACTGCATTTACATGGCTACCAAATAGTTTGAACATACCACTTTTTCTGAATATGCTGGGTAGCTCACACCATACTTATTATAGGCAATTACACGAAAACTGTATGATGTTGAAGGTAGCAAGTTATGGAAGGAGACAGTGAAATCCTGAAGTAGACCGTTTGCAGTTCTTGCGACAGTTGTCCATCGGGTTTCCTCTGGAAATTTTATTTCAGTAAAGGAAAATTAGACTGACTTCAATTGAACTTTTGACAGTCAAGAGTACATGTGTGAACTAATTACATGAAAATGATCTAGATCTATCTATTTATCAAATTTTTAAGACCATTTAAAAAAACCTAACTTTTTACACAATTAAGAAAATATTTCAAGTTGCAACAAGTGGGTTGCATTGCAGTACTGTGGATATTATGTAATGGCTACCATAGCGAATACAATTTACAGTAACTAAACTAGATGGGTGTGCACTCTCAGTGGCGTATTTGCTCAAAACTGTGATTTACATGCTTTACATGACTTACGCTGTAGCCAATCCTCATGGACTGAAGAATTACAAGAGATTGAAAAAAAATATTTCTTTAAAAATTGTAAAACTATATACATTTTTTAAAAATATCTACAGTTTGTGTAAAATGTTCAATTATTTTCACAAACATCACAGGGATTACCCACCTTTTCTTTTGGTCTGAACGTAGTAACCAAGAATTGGTCCCTTGCCTGAGGCACCATTTATCCAGTGTAGATCAACACTTGAAACAGTATTTCCTAAAACAAGCTCTTTAGGGCGAGTAGGTGAACCATCTTGTGGTCCTGTGGTGACATTAGCACTAATAGCAGGGCCATAGTCTATTGTCTGAGCTCGCACAGTAACCAAGTAAGTGACTTCTTCTTCTAGAGTTTGTATTGATAGACTTGTACCAGATACTTTCTGCTTCACCTGCTTACTGAAGCCTGTCACACATCAAAGAGAAAAGACTTTCAAGTTAGATTCAACAAAAATACAGAATATTTACACATGTGCATAACAGGAAACTTACGTTCATTCTGTTCAGCAGTTTCATAAGTCACAATATACCCAACAAGCTCGCCATTGCGCTTCTTAGGGGGATCCCATGAGACTTTTATGCTACTCATTGTTATTTCAGAAAAAGACAAGTTTGTTGGAGGCCCTGGAAGTCCTTGCAGTGTTCTCACAGTAACAGGTGCTGATCTTGGCCCATCACCAGCAGGATTGAAAGCCAACATGGAGATTTGATATTGAGTGAACTTATCCAGGAAAACTAAACTGTGTGAATGAGATGTAGCTGGGACAACTTCAAGCTCTTCCTCTTGAGAGACTCTATCATCTAATGGCTGAGGAGACTCTGTTACTAAGTAATAAATCTTTGAGAAAAAGAAAAAGTAGCAGTTAGGTAAGCACATATAGTACTAAATTAAATGTATATAAAAACAAATTAATTGTTTTAAAGTTATTACCTTATAACCCAACAAGTCTCCATTTTGCTGACTTTGGGTGGGTGGTCTCCATTTTAAACGTACTTCAGTGGGAGACAATGGCTCTGCCTCTACTGCCTGGGGCTCACCAGTTGGAACAGCTTCTCCCACATACACAGTGACTGGAGGACTAGCAGGTCCAGCACCTTGAGAATTAAATGGCAGCACCACCACTTCATAGTTCTTGTCACGTGTCAATCCAGCAAGAACAATACTTGAAGACTGCAAATAAATTTTCCACATTGTGATATGATTTTATTTTTGGTTAACAAAAGCAAAGAGACAAAAATCTACCAAAAAAACAATAACTTACATTTATTCCCATTGTTTCTTCTTTAGGTGTTGCTTGAAGTGCTGTAGGAAAGTCTGAAACTGGTTGGTATACAATTCTGTAACCACCAGTGACACTTTCTCCAGACCAAGCTGCTTCAGGTAAGGTATTCCAATGCACTTCTACACTTGTTGTTGTTATAGGGACAACTCTAAGGCCACTGATAGCTTTTGAAGGGGCTGCACTAAGAGTTCGCACTTCAGCACTCTCAGGACTCCAACCACTCGGACCCATATCATTGTTGGCTTGGATCCGAAAACGATATGAAGAAAATGGTTTAAGGCCAACAGCAGTATATGATGTCGTAGCAGGGTCAACTCGTTCAGGGATAGTTTGCCAGGGTCCCCGCCCTTCTGCTACTTGCACAGTGTAGTACCTGTATTTTAAAAGTTTCATAGGTCAAATTGTAGGTTGTTGATGAGTAAAACTAAAAACTGACAATGTAATTAATGTATTACCTGAGTGGAGCAAAACCATCTCGTCCAGGAGTCCAACTGAAAGTGATATGAGCACTTTGAATCTGGCTACGAGAAACTTGGGGTGCAGATGGAGGTTGGGGAATTTCTCGGTTATTAGAAGTCAAAACCAAAGCTGTGGCAGTTTTTCCCCAGCCAAGTCGAGTTTGAGCAGTTACAGAAAACAAATAATACTGCTCAGGCTCAAGTTCTGTTGCTCTGAAATTGTTAAAACAAAAACTTAAATTAGCTGTATTCTTCAACCAAAGCCTTTCAGAGACTTTTAAAAACTAACCTGAATGTGCGATCAGAGGGGGGAAATTCTCTTGAAAAATTAAAGGCATTGCCCTTGGATTCAACATGATATGTTACACGATAAGCCAAAATTTCTCCATTTGGCTCATCAGGTACATCCCAAATAATTCGAGCAGTAGTAAGAGAGACATCAGGGAAAGAAACATTCGATGGAGCACCAGGCGCTAGAAAAGATTCAAGACATTAAAAATCAAACTCTGCAAAGCTCAGATACTAACGAAATCAGACCATGGGTATACTCACTGTCTTCAAAAGTGCGAACCCGAACAGGTGGAGCAGAATGCTCTCCATCACCAAGCCGTGTGAAAGCCAAAACTTGAATATTGTACTGAACATACTTTCTGAGTTCAGTTAGTGTTGTAGTGAATGTAGAATTACTAGCTATAGTTTTATATTGAACTGACACTATTCCACTTCCCACTCCCATGGGAGCTGCAGCCGCATAATAAGCCACCTATAAAGTTAAGTGTTGTGAGTAATAGAACAAAGACTAGCAAAATCAAGGTAAATAAGGTAAATTGATATCTGAAGCACTTACTTTGAAACCTTCTATTTGGCCATTACAGTGTTCCCGTGGGACCTCTCCCCACCGCACAACAACTGTGGTTGATGAAGTGGCATTGGCTTCAACATTCATAGGTCCAAAAGAAGGAACTAAATGAAAACAATCAAAAAGTTAAAAATATTGCAATAGTTATAGGGTGATAACTATTTTGTTTGTTAGTGAGTTTTCACAGTTTTCACACATACCTGACTCTCTAGTCCTTTCAACTGCCTTGGGACTTGCTTGTGATGACCCAACATCATTAAAAGCTCTCATTTCAATTTCATAAAGAGCAAACTCTTCCAGTTTATGTAAAATGTGACTGTTGGCAGTGTGGTCCTCAATACTTACACTCCTTGGCTCAGAAGGTATGCCACCAGGAGGAGCAATTTCCCTGAAAGTAATATTGTATCCTCGTGGGTTTCCAAACCATTCAATTTGTTGTAATGGCTAAAGGTGCAAAAAAAAGAATTAATTTCAAAACTATGGTATAGTATGATAATTCTAATAATTCAAAAAATCAACTTACAATCCACCGAACTCTCAGCTCTGTTGCTGACATAGCTCGTACGGTAACATTAAAAGGTGGATGGCCCGGGGGAGCTTGAATGGTCTGAAACTCTTTGGTAGGCTCAGATGGGGTACTTGGGCCTACAACATTATTAGCAATGAGGCGTAATCTGTACAGAGAGAAGGGAGTAAGCTTGTTGACAATTAATGTTGTGGCATCAGGAGCTGATTCTTCATAGACTGGTAGCCATGTACTATTCCTGGTTGTTTGAGCCTATAAACAAAAACAAAAAGATTATTTTCTGAACCTGCAACAGACGATTGATGTTTGGTTTGATTATAGTAAGTTTTGTTCACCTCAACAGTCCACTTTGTAATTGAGGAATTGCCATCAAAGCCTGGAGTGAACTGTAATACTACAGAAAAAGCTTCAATATTTGTAACTGCCAACTTTGTAGGTGGTTGGGGTAGCACAGGTTCTACTCCTGATTGCAGAGATGCCACCCGAGGAGTGCCAAGTCCAACAGATGTGGCAGCTCGAATAGTAAAGATGTAGTGGGTGGTAGCCTAATTTATTCAAAGGCAATAAGGAGAACATTTAGAATGGATTTGTTTGTAAAGTTAAATTTGTACTATTGAGAAACTATCATTACCTGAAGATGTTCAACTTTCAATCTTTGAACATCTGCTGTTAAGTTATGAACTTTAAGAGTATCAGGGAGATCTTTCACTTGGTATTTTAGTTGATATCCTGTGAGAATTCCATTGACAGATCGTGGTGGTGACCACCTTACAGTTACAGCACGGTCTGATACTTCATCAAATTGGAGATTGGAAATTTCGTCAGGAACTGTAAAAGATATTAATTATTTTGAAATAATGCTGTGCCAGGTTTATTAGTGTTAATTTATGAAGTAAACTCCTACCATCCTCATTTGTTCGCATTATAACAGGAAGACTCCTTAAGCCATCCCCAGGGTCCGTGAAGCACAAAACAGTAATGTTGTACTCGCAATATTTCTCCAAGTTTCCAATAATGGCAGTCTGCTCGGCTAAAGGGTCAAACAGACTAGGTGGGACTGTCTCCATCTGTGCTGCTTCTTCTTCAGTGGAAGGATCACCCTTCCATGCTTGCAGCTTGTACCCTTGATTGATGCCATTAATTTTTTGTGGATCTGGTGGCCGCCACCAAACTTGAATAGCTGTTGAGTTAAGAGCAGTAACCCTCACTTGGGTTGGTGCAGCTTCAGGTACTGGAATAATTGATTGAAATGAGAGAATGTGAGACAACAATTGGTAGATACCCTGTACACTTGGAACATACAATGTACAGTCATACAATGAATCTAAATTATTATTGAATGCTCTGACTTACCTCCTTCTTTGGTCTTAATTTTAACTCCTTCACTGAAGACTCCTAAACCTTTGTTATTATATGCAGCTATTTGGAAGACATAGTCTTTCCAAGTGATTAACTCTTGAACAAGGCAATTACGCTGTGCCTCATTGGTGATGTTGCGGTAATTCCAAGGACTTCCGTTGTAACCATAAAGTCTGTACCGAATCATGTAGCCAAGTATTTGCCCATTGCGATGTTCTTCAAGCGGAGGCTGCCACTGTGTTATAATTTCTGATGATGATCTTGCAGATCCCACCAAACCCAGAGGAGGACCAGAGGGTGCTGCAAAATGAGACACAAGTCACATGTTAAAAATTGAGCACACAACATTTAGTAAATTCCCAACCAAAGTTCTTGATAAATTTGTTAGTGGCCAACCTTCTTGAGGCAGTTCAATGACGTTGCTCGGTTCGGACGGCGAGCCCTCTCCCACGGAGTTAACGGCGCTCACACGGAACTGGTACCTGGCGGCCGCCTTGAGGTTCTCCAGAAGGACCCAGCGGTGAGTCGCGGACACGTTGGACAGCTCCGTCACCCACTGGATGAGGGAGGCGGGGAGTTCTGCAAACAGAGAAGGTCAAAGAGGTGCAACTGGAGGGGCGGGGGGCGGGCCCGTGGGGCGGGCGTGTCTGGGACTCGACTCACCTAGGTCGGACACCTCGCGCTTCTGCACGATGTACTTGACGACGGGGCTGTTGCCGTCGAAGCCCGGCGCCCAGCTGACGTTGATGGCGCGAGGCGACACGAGCTCGTTCCTGGACGCGCGCACGTTGGTGGGCGCGAAGGGCAGCTCGAGGACGGACAGGCGGGCGGACCGCGTCTCGTTGCCGCCGGCGCTGTGCAGCGCGCAGGTGTAGTCGCCCACGTCCGAGGCCCGCACGGCCTGGATCTCCAGGGTGCCGTCCGAGGACACGGTGATGCGCTGGCTGCTGGGCGACGCGCCGTTCACCTCGCCGATGAGCTCGTGGCCCCGGGTCCACGACAGCCGGTACGGCACCGACGAGTCCCCGGTCACGCGGCACTGCAGGGTGGCCGTGTGCCCGAGCAGGACCCTCGTGTCGGCCGGTGGCTGCGCGATCTGCGTCCGCACTGCAACAGGACGACGGGCGTGAGCACGAGTACAGGCCACAGCCGTGCGGCGGCAGGCCGTTGCTGCTGTGCATGCGCGCACGCGTGCGGGGCAAGCCGAGTGCGAGGCCGGGGAGAGCTAGGCCAGAGAGCTACGCCAGCGTACGTACCCAGGACGGCGAGGTGCGCCGAGGCGGTGACGGAGCCCGCCTCGTTGGCCCGGATGCACGTGTACTTCCCCTGGTCAGAGCGGCGGACGGCGGGCACGAGGAGGTCGCCGGTGTCCAGGATCTGTCCGCGGCCGTGTCCCGACTCCTGCTTGCTGCCTGCATGGGGGAAGGTGGGGAAGGGCCAAGCAAAAGCACACCGTAAGGAAAGAGCGGCAACAAATTTACACAAACTGGAATTTTCACATTTTAAAATAAAAACAACAGCTTTTTGGACCGACGACGACTGCTACTATGGACATAAATTTACGCGTCCAAACAGTGTATTCGACAATATAGTAAACTATGAAGGTGTCCAAATGAACGCACCACGACGAGACGCGAGTGAACGTTGGGCGCCAAACCAAACGCACCGCACTAGAGTGCCCTGGGCGGGCCGCCATCTTCGCACGGCTGCTAGGCGGGCTGGCCTACCCAGCCTGTGGCAGGCGCTACGACTTGCGTCACCTCGTGTAACGTTCAATGTTGGCACACCTTTGCATATGGCTACTACTACTACTACACTACATTAAACTCAGCATCATCATCTACGACACTAACAGCAGTGCTTATACAATAGGGCATCATCTATGTGCAAGGAATGAATGAAATGCAATGAGTTGCAACGGAAAGCCAGGCGCACACAGAAGCTGCGCAAAAGCTGCAGGCGCAGGCAGGTGCTGCATCACAACAACTGTTTCCACTTTCATTTTACCTCTTGAGGTTGCATTATTGCACAACATATCAAGCAAAGTCCCGGCATATGATGACTCATCATAAGTTCATCGGGGTCGAGTAACTCCCACAGCGAAGTTAACCCCCTCTGCTTGTGATTTTAAAGAACGTACCGTCGAATATCCAGGTTGCGTTGGGAGCGGGCGAACCCGCCGCTCTGCAGCTGAGCGTGGCGTCCTTGCCGTCGAGCACGGTCACGTTCTGCGGCGGCGTCTCCAGGACGGGGGCGGCGGCTGCGAGGGGGCAACAGAGAACAAGCGTGAAGCGGGCGGGCAGGCGGGGGTGTGTGAAGTGAAGTGGGGATGCTTTAGGGGGAGGCAGGGAGGAGGGCGCAACGCTCCGTGGTGCGGTGTGTGGTGCGTCGCGGCCATAAAGCGTGCCGAGCGGGGAGAGCGGGCGAAATAGGATCTTCGAGCAGGTAATAATCGAAATGTCGTCACAAAAAAGTTTGTGATTAATTAACAATGATGGGATTGTCAAATTTTGCCGCGCTTTACAAAAGAAATGAATGAGAACAGAAAAATTCTGATACAAGGTGTAGTGACTGAATAAAGGAAACAAGCACCGACGAGCACGAGCCTTGGCAGATTTAGTGCCTCGTTGTTGATCTAATCTCTCTTGTCTCATTCACCCGCTAAATGGAACTCTGCCCCCGGGGTTTGAAAGGGGTGAGAGAGAAGAGATAGGAGCGGAACCCTCGGACCCTCCTCTTTCGATCACTCTCCCGCTTAGCAAACTTAAAATTGATTCAATGAATTACCATGCTAGCCATGCTATTATTAACTAGAACTATAGACTAGGGTGAGCAGCAGGGACTACAAAATAAAACACACTAGAACAATTAAAAAAAAAGGGAAGACTAAAACAATTAAAAAGGGTGTTCCATCACAATACCATTCACCTCCGTACGTACAACAATTACCACTAATACCTTTAGTTGTTTTTCGTAATTAAGCAAAAAGCTTTGCACTTTTTCAAAATGTACGATTAAAAGCTCTGGCTGTGAGGATATTTAGCGTCCTAATGGAAGAAATACAGGAATACAGCACGGACTGGGCTGGGCAGGTGGCTGGTGGTGGTTGGGTGCTCTTCCATTGTACGCCGGAGGGAAAGCTTCGGTGATAACACACACACACACGCATACGCGCCACACAAACAAACAAGTGACAAGGTGTACACACAATAGGCGTGGATCTCTTGACACGCGGCTCCACACAAACGCAGGCGAGGGGGTGGATGTGGCTTGGGGTGGGGTGGGAGGGGAGGGGGCCGTGCTGCTGGCGCTACACGCGGCTGAAACTAAAAGGATTGCCCAACAGGAGAGGAGGGGTCCGTCCATTCTAATGACCGCAGTTGTATGGTACACTCACACACGCACACACACATGCAAATTGACTACAGGGGAAACAGCAAGTCTGCCTCTCCTTCTCACGCAAGCAGACGTGCTGGACTCGTACGTCTCAGTTGGGGGGGATCCCCGGGCGGCGATCGAGGCGCAGAGATTTCTTTCAATACAGCAGGAGAAGCCCGACGGCAGCAGGCCACTATCTCTATTACTTCTACCCGCGCCCCGGCCGGGCCAGGCGCCGTTTCCCGTTCCGCCCATTGTTTTTCTCTATTTTTATTTTTTCCCGAACAGGCCGGCCGGTGGTCCTGGTCAGACCGAGCCGAGCAGAGACCCCAGACGTGCATTCAAGTCTCCCAGCCGCCGGGACTTCCCCCTCCATACTGCACTCGCGTCCAGCACGCCACACACACACAC